TCTCATTACTTTTGCTTGTGTGCTGAAAAACAGTCTCCCAAGAAGAAATTGGAATGAGTTTTATACTTGAGATGTTGCTTTTTAAAATTTCTTATATAGAAAGACAATCCTTAATATACAAAGAAAAATCAAAATATTATTTATTTATAATAAATGCTTTCTTTCTATATGAACATTGGTAATCTGTGGGGTTTCAAAAAAATTTTTTTTTTTCAGTAAGGTTCACTCTGTACAAAGCCTATGGACCTCATGTGGTAGAAGGCTACATTAAGAGGTTGTTTATACGGATAGGAGTGGAAGATAATGGTTAACCCTAGACTTGAACAGATTAAGATTGGTAGTGATCAGGGAAACATCCTCTTGGAAGTTGGTTCTATAGAGCCATGGTTCACAAGAAGAAGCTGTTTGAGTGGAACTTACTTCTCATCAATGGAATACAAAGGGAATGTGGGTGGTTTGTTACAATGTGAGTGGCATGGTGGGTCCTAGCCAGTCCTATCCATAAAGATTAGAACTGATGGAACCAAGGAATGTAGTTCGTTTGTGCGCTTTCCAGGGGAGTGGTGATAGAGCAGTGAGAGGCTTGCTGCAAGAGAGAGGTTGGAGGGTGGAAAATAATTTGTCACTCGCAAGGACTTGGAGAAGCTTTTGGACTGAAAAGGACTAAACCTTTATGTATAGTGTTAATGTTATTTATATCAAGGACTGAGGAATATTGGAGATGTTTGGATTATAATGCTATGATTCATTCACATAAATAATGAATGATTTCTTTAATAGAAATATCTCTAAATTTTATAAAATTTGTAAGCACTATTTATATACTTCATACTTTTTTCTTTTTTAATTCTATGCGACATGACCATTTAGGACGTTGGTGATCATAGCTCTCCACAATTTCCTGTCCTTTGTAGCTCTTTATAAAATTTGTCTTTTTGTTATCACTCCTAAACCTTGCCATCAAAGCTAGCTAGGTAGGTTATGCATTGTTTTCCCCTGTGCTTCATGCCTTCAATCAGTCCTGTGAGTATCAAATTTTTCAAGCCTTCTTTACTCGTGTACCCTAGAAATTTCAACTGTCTCTTCCTGATAAGTGTCTTTTTTGTTTCCATTTTGTCTAAAACTTTGTCATTGTTCACATGTTCGGTCCATGGTATTCACAGCATCCTTTGAGATATTCCTGTATGATGTACATGAATGTGGTGCTGAAGATATTTGCTAAAAGTATGTGTGTTTTCCATTGTTTCAGGTGTCACTACTTAATGCTGGAGATTCTGAGGATGAAGATTTCTTTCTTAAGTGAGTATCAAACTATCTAATTGTTAAAAAAAAAGAAAAAAATCCAATTTTTATCTACTTATCTATATATTTTAGCTTTAGTCTGTGTTAGTTTTTTTTTTTTTTGTTTTTTTTTTTTACAAAAAGTAAACTTTATAGCTTAAAAGTTAATAAGATTATATTTTTAACAAGTGTAGCATTCAATAAATTAAGTTTTAGTATAATAAAAATGGAAATATAGTGTAGCAGACCCGGTAGCATGCAGTGCTGGCCTACGAAAAGGTGGCCTTGTGCCAGACATTCTTCACGACTACTGAATCCACTAACAAAGTAAAAATAATAAATGTGTGATCTTTAGTGAGGAAAAAGGGTCATTTGACACATGCGTAAAAATAGTAAAATATAGATAGCCAGGAGGAAATGACGAAAATGAGTCTGGTGGAAGACAAATATAAAACTTTATTTTAATAACAAATATTTGGTCTCACACAGTGGGGACCATCAGAAAAGCAATGGCTGTTCTTAGCCAGTAGGTAAATTGTATAGTGTAGTGACAAGTAGGAAGTTAATGTTCCGCGCCAAAACGAAAATCAAAATGGCTAAGGCGGGAAAAGTTTCTTCAGAATGAAGGTTCTGGAATATAGGCTTCTTATACAAAAGGTGCATGCATACACAACAAGGAAAAATACTCACTGCGAGATTTATATAATGTGTGTGTAATGTTATCTTTTTTTTTAAACTGGTTCGTAAAGGTGAGAGTTCAAAAGAGTTAAGTGAAGTTCATCAATCAACTGTGTCGAAAAACTCTACGTTCCCTGGTAGTGAAACTGAGGAAAGTTTGAAAGTTTGAACAAGGAATTAGTCTTAAACGTGTGATGCCGACAGTGTCGTAGACTCTACATTCTCCGGTAGAAAATGGAGGATGGTTCAAACATGTTGTTCGAAACAGGTTACAATCACAGGAAAAATATTTCGGCATAATGAACCAAGGAGTCACTAGGAAGTTTTTGGTTAGTTAAAATATTCCGGCCCGTGTATGGGTAAGGGGCACGAAAAATAAATGAGTCAACCTTCTTCTTCTGGAAACAAGTCACGACTGACTTGAAAAACAAAGTTTGTCAGTGACGTCAGAGAAATGCGCGGGAAAACTTCAAATTTCGTTCTAGCTGGAATCTGGAGCAGCCAGACCTCCTCACTCACGTTGGCAACAGACAGGCTGGTTTACTACTATGTCTAGCCGAATGTGACAGGAAGGGGTGCAATCCGTGTATGCACGTAAAAATTGTTGGAATCCCTGCACGATTCCACAATAGAATTAACTACCTAGTGTATATCTATCATATATAATATATATTTATTTAGTGTAATTAGGTAGTAATAGTTAAATAAGTTTTATTGGAAAGTATAGACATTCTATGTATATTGAATTTAACTATTGTCTTTTGTGGAAGATTATTTGAAATTTAGAAAAGCTGATGGCTAAATTTAATAGACATAGAATGTCTATTTGTATACCATGCACTGGTGATTAAAAAGTGATCATGTTTTAGTTATGACAATGGGAAATTGTTTTAAAGATGTTTATAAAGCTAGAAGGGGAAAAGACTCACTTGATGAAAGATCAGGGTACAATAAGTTTATGTAAATGTCAGTGATTGAGAAAATATTTAATGACTACTGTTTTTTATTCTTATATATTTCTAAAAGATCAGAATTATTGTTATTAACAACCTTCATGACTAGTATTTCTTTCATTTTAATTTCAGTTGCTTTTTATTGCAGCTTCTCAGAATCCTCATTCTATGGCTATCAGTAAGTAGAAATGGGGGTGGGGAAGATACCCAGCTTGACTCTAACTTCCATCTCGTCTTCCTAAGGAAGCCTGTTTTATTTAAACCACTTCCTTACCAATTTGATCATTGAAACAAATGTCAACAGAAATGAAAATTAATCATTTTGTTTCATTCTTTATTTTTCTCAGATTTCAGATTTCCTGCTGTTTTCTGATTCTTACATATTCTTGTAATATCAGTAGCATCATTGCTTGCAGACAGTCCGAAACTTTGCAGTAAAAGCAAATTAAATAAAAATGAAAGAAATACAAGTCAAAAAAAAAAAAAAATCAATAACTGATAATCCTTCATATAATAATAAATTTAAGATAACTAATTTGCTTTTTTTTTCCTTTTTTATGCAATAAGAATGTTTTTATAAATGCTAATGATTGAGAAAATCCTATCTGATGTTTTTTATATTTTCAGGGGACCTCGAATGAGTGGAACAATTAAAACAGATCCTAAACTTGGAAAGTAAGTTATTTGTACAAGATGGATGCTGAAAAGCTTTTGGCTTGCCTGTTTTCACTAAATGACCAAACATTAGAATTTCTTTTGGAATCCCTTATTAGTCTGGCTGAGAATATTCTAGCACCTTTTGGAGATTTTTCATTTTTAAAAAATATTCTTTATTTGGTTGGTGGTGGGGCTTGTGACTTGTACGTGATTGTTGATTTATTTTCTGTGCAAATTTTAATTACATTAAATGCACTTGTCTGAGTCTTAAAAATATCTCTGAATTATTTAGATCATTTTAATTAGCCAGCTTTATGAAGCAAATTTTTATGTTAATCACTCTGTCCACCAGCATTTTGAAATATATCAAAACTGTTTCTTGGCATGTAAAAAGTGATGGCGTGGAGGATAAAAGTGTAGCAGCTGTACTTTTCTTCCAGAATTTTTTTTTTTTTTTATGTAAACAAATTTAGTGTATATCTGAAAAATTGCACAATTTGAATTTCTATAATATTTGACTTGCTAGACCTTTACAATATGTGAGTGGGAAAAGACTGAAATAAACAGTTGCAAGAGTGTTAGCTCTCGTGTTGCATGTTTCTAACATACCATTTTGGAATTCTATGTACTTTTTGCTAGAAAAAGCAGCCACACCAGTATGACATTATTGCACACAAATTAAAGTATAATCGTATACTAATTTTTATGTGCTGTTCTATAATAGGTACTGTTCTGCTAGGTGTCATAAGAGGCTTTTATAAAAATGTAAAAATAAATTTTCATTTAATTTAAAAAAAAAAAAAAAAAAAAAAATGGCTTTAAAATTTTACGTCAATTTTTGAATTAAAGGGAGGTAAGTCATATTTAGTGATTAACTCCCTTAGGATATAATTTTAATTACCTCCCTTTCAATGCTGCTTTCTTCCGTTTGAGGTTCTAGACTTTTGAATGCTGATCTTTGAGGCAGGCAAGCAAGCAGTGGTATCCAAAGTCGACATTGGCGTCTATTGAATGTGGGTGGGTAGGGGGATCATAAGCAAATTAGTCGGAAAGATGAAAATGGAAAATTTCATACTCATACTTCAAGGGATCTAGTTTTTGTGGAGCAAATTTAGGATTGAACCTCTTGCTATTGATTGATTCGTTTTTTTGTTGTTTTTTTTATATAGTTTATCAACCTTTTGCAGGTTATTTAAAGCCCCAAAATCTTTTGGGATTGTAAGAATTAAAAATTTTTTTTGAGATAATAATGATTTAGTGATACAAGTTGTACTAATTAACCTATATCTGCATGGAGAAGAGGTGGATTCATACCTGTCTGAAGGGTATTTGCATGTAAGTGAATATAATGAACCCAACTAGAATTAGAACTTGACTTTCTGATTAACAATTCTGAAACATTATCCATTACACTACCTGCACACCCAAACTTTCAGCACTTGGTATTCCCAAGTGGTCACCTATCTAGGTACTAACCAAGTTCATCATTGCTTAACTTCAGTGATTGTACAGGAACTGGTGTTTCAATATGATGTGGGCATAAGCCTTGACATAAATTAGCTATATTGATAAATAGCTAATTAGGTTATTTGGAAAATTTTTGATTTTAGAATAAACCTTTTAGTTGTGTCCTAATAGACTATTATAATAGTTGAACAAAAATATATTACTCATTTCTAATGATTATAGTGTCCTTTTTGTTAATTTTATATCAATCTCTTTCAGAACTTAAAACATATGTCTATCATCTTGAAAAAGAGAAATGTTTACTATTTTTGTATGAGTTAAAGTTTAATGATAATATTTCTCAAACTGCTGCCAACATTAGCAGAGCATGGGATGATGGATCCATTTTTGATCAGACAGTGCTGGTTTTTGAAGTTTAGCAGTGGGAGTACAAATCTTGAAGATACAGGTGATAGCAGATGTTCATCCACAATGGATAATCAATGTCTGAAACCATTATTTGAGCAAAACCCACAACAAAGTGTCAGAGAAGTGTCTCCGATAATGGGTATCGGCATTTCAACAATATAAAAGAATCGCAAGAAAATTGAAAAGGTGAAGAAATTTAATAAATGGGTTCTGCATGAACTCTGAAAAGTCGGGTTGTCATTTTGAAGTGTGGTCGATGCTGCATTTGTAAAATTTGAATGGTCCATTTCTTGACTGAATAGTGAGTTGTGATGAGAAATGGATTTTTTTTATGACACTTGTAAACAATTGGCTTAATGGCTCGATTGTGATGAAGGACCCAAACAGTTTTTGCCAAAACTGAAATTGCACCAATAAAAGATTATTTTGGTCTACTATTGGCATTATCCATGAAACGGATGAAATGCAAATTCAGTTAAACAAAATGTAATCCATCATTGGTTAATAGATAAGGTCCAGTGTATGACAATGATCAGCCACATGTAGCCATGGTGGATGACACTGCAGCAGCTCACCAACTTGAAATATGAGACTTTGCCACATCCACCATATTCTCCTGCCCACTAACTGCTACTTTTCCAAGAATCTTGACAATTTTTTAAGCCAAAAGGTATTCTGTTGCAAAGAAGTTGCAGAAACTACATTCAAAGATTTATTGGCATCCAAACCTTTAGAGTTTTATAATAAAGGCATAAATAAGCTTGTAACATGATAGCAGAAATCTATAGATGTCAGTGTTCCTATGTTGACTTATTAAACACTATTTAAATACATTACTTCAGCAATGAAAGTTGATTCTACAATCAGACATTATTTTCTGAACAGACTAATAGCTATTACATTATCAGTATTTCCAAACTTATTTACATTGCTCGGACTGTTGTCCTCATCTTTGTCATCATATTCATGATGCTCCAGCCTTCTTCAGGTGATTGGAATTTTGAACTGAATCCTTTATTTTGTCCACCAGAGTAGATTGTTCTAGTTCCACATGCCATTCCTCTTCCAGATATCTCAGTTTTAGTTATTTCCCTTTAAATCAACTCTCCAAGGTTTTGTTCATCTCCTACTGTGGCCAGGTATTGAACTCACAACTCTTTGGGTCAATTCACTGGGTTACTTCAATCAACACCTTTATCCACTAGGTCATATGTCCCTGGAGAGTTGAGTTAAAGGAAAAAAGGATGGAAAAAGAAATAAGGGTAGGGATGCATGAAAGTGTTTGGTGTGTATAAAAGAATCAAAGTGAATGAGTCAAAATGAGGATGATGAATCAAACTTTGGTCAGTGATATACACTCCTGCAGGTAGGTGTACTGTAACATTAGGACAGGTCAATTTTGGAACTGTGGTATTGCGCTCATTTTGAAAGTTGGAGTTTGACATGATACAAAATTTTTTTTTTTTTTCCAAATCATTACCATTTTTTTGAGGAAACGAGTTTAAAAGATTAAGTCTAAGTTCAAAATTGTAGCACTGGAATTTCATTCTGGTGATCAATGAAAACCTTACAGTACAGCCTTATGGAATTTATAATTTATAACTTACAGGAACTTTACAAATTGCATATGGACAAGATGCATGGCATAAGCACATTATTACTAAATCACTGTGTCATCAAATAAGACCTTCAAAGGGAAATTACATTGAACAATTTAGCTATATTATGATATGTTATATAGTACGGTAATTTTAAGTGTGATTATCAATAAATGCAAATTTAAAACATTTTGTCTTATAATTTGTGCACAGTAGTATTATGTTATATACATTTTTTCTGTTTTTGTTTTCATTAATTATGATATATCAAATAATGTAACAAATCTTATTCATTGAGTAGCCTTTTTTGTAATCATTTACAGTTTTTTTTACACTTTCTACTTATTGAATACAGTTAAAAAAATGCATGTTTTGCTTGTGGTGATTCCCAATTAAAATTTTGGTTTGAATCTATTTTCCATTCAATGTACTAAATATAAAATATATCAACTTTATTTGGATTTATTCTTGAAACAGTAAAATTTTGAAGTCAGTTTGCAAGCAAAAACCTGCAGAAATTATGCATTTCTGTACATTTTTTTTTTTTTTTTTAAGATCTTTAAAAGTAAGTGCTCAAAAATTTGTGAAAGTTATGCATCTAATTTTTGGTGACAGTACTTATCACATTAAACCCTACCTTTTGCACAAAGTGCATGTTGACTTTCTAAAAAAAAGTGAAAAATCAACCTGCACCACTGTAACACAATATTGTTCCCCACTTGCTCCCGATTTAGCCTTATGTCATATTAAGCCTTTCATTACTTTTGTATTAGATTGAAATTTGATGATAGAAAATTTATTGATTTCAACTGTCATATATAAAAGAGTTTGTTAAATTTACTACTGTTCATGTATTTTTGCGTGTGGGCATTAAAATAAATTTTATGTCTGCCATTTGTTTTCATCTGTATGTTTTGAATAACTTGAAAAATGTACTCCTTGACAGATTGAGTTTGTAAATGATTATAAAACAACTGAAATGTCATAAAACCTAGTTAAAATCCTATCTGTCAATATAATTCAAAAACTACTTGTCTCAAAGATATTTTAATTCTTGATTTTGTTTTTTTTTTTCTTGTGTCCACTAAATACTGAATTATTGTAGCAACAGCTTTAAGCAGTTGTTTCTCAAATTAACAGCTGGTAGAAAAAAAATTATTTGAATTTGTTTTTCATATGATGATATATATTTTCAGATTACAAAACCAAGTTGGTGAAGTCATTGATGTCATGAAAGACAATGTAAATAAAGTAATGGACCGTGGTTATAAACTGGAAGAGTTACAAGATCGATCAGGTATGCTTTTTATCTTTCACTTTATTATTAAAAGAAGTAATAATGCTTGATGATTCCAACCAGGGTGGGGGGTGATTACTAAAACTCCCCCTCCCCAAATTTATTGATAAATCCTACAGATACAAGCTGGGATTCCTTTGATGCCAATAAATATGGACAAGTCTTGGTTTTGCCACACCCTTCTGTTTTTTTGCCTTGAAGTCAGACGTTTATAACCACTTGACTGTATCCCTTTTGTGTGTGAACATTTTTATTTTGTATGGTTTTGGTTTAGCCTTGCATTACATTGTCTTGTCTCAGACTATTTTGCTGATTTTCTTCCTATTCTGATGTGTTATTAAAAAATTTATCAATTATGTTTAACCATGTCCACTTCTCCAGCACTAGTGTTAAACAGATGAGATGTAACCCATTTCTACTGATGCCAAATAGTCTCTTTCAAGCCCACAATGCAGAAATGTTTGTGCTCACTCCAGCTCAGCCATAGGCCTTAAGAAGCCTCTGCATTTAGGTAATCCTTCATATGCCCCACTCCCATATCAAAAAAAAAAAAAAAATTGGTTTTTTTTTGTTTTTTTTTTTTTTTTTTTTTTTTTTGTAAAACATCAAAACACTTAGACTAAAATTTTAAATGGTTTTGGAACTCCTCTATTTCATTATCAAATTCATATTTTTATCCGAAACTTTACATCCTACATGCATCTAGAATAAAGGGCCTGTATTACACTAAAATTCTAGCATTCAGATTACTAGCAAAGTATCCAAATACTCTAAATTGTTTCAAACTAGTTCAAAGGAACCTCAGTAAATCTGAAAATAAACAAATATCCCTCCTCCTTTTTTTCCTTCTTGTTAAGTTTCATGAGGGCCGTTGGGGGATCCTCTAGTCTTGGGGCCACTGGGCTGCAGCCCATACTGACCCATATGTAAATCTGGCACTGGGTGGTAGCATCTAAATAAAAATATGAGACTAAATTTTTAATTTGTAAATTAGTTGTTTATTCACTTTTGGACTCTGTCAAATTAACATTGGCCAAATCAATGTGATCTTTCTTTGAATATTCAAGCTACTGCTTGCAACAATGTGTGGGATTCTGCCCCTCCCCACTTAAATTTGGTGTTTATATAACTTCCTGTTATCTGGTTGTGTGTGTGTAGAGTCTAATTTCAACTGAGTCCACTTTCTTGTTTGTTAGTATACCCACTTACTACCTTTAAGACCTGATTCTGTTATTACTGACTTTGAGGTCACCTGCTAGGACAAATCTTGGAGTGCCTAGGTTTTTTAATATTCTGAGGTGACATCTAGTATAAAACTTTGATAACAACTCTTCGATCAATGGTTCATGATGGTCATTAAATTCTATTCAGACCACTTCATGTGAATCACATGCTGTATATTATTAGCTGACTGATTTAAGAGGATGAAGTAAAACCAGCAACAGTTGCCATGAACACATTAACAATGAATGCTGCTGAAGTATTGAACAATGCATTATAGATTTTAATGATTGTTGCATATCCTTCAAAAGGTAGACTAAATCCATTTTTAATTTGATTCTTTGAAGTATTTATGAAGATTTAGGGCAAAAGTTAACAAATTGATTAAATCCTTAATTCTTTAATTTTTTTTATTTTCTGCTGAGCAGATGATCTTGTGAATAATTCAGAACTATTCCGTTCCCGATCCAGCAGTCTTCGACACAGAATGTGGTGGCAGAATTGTCGGGTATGTTGATTTTTCAAGCTACATTACTTTCAAAAGTATAA